GCTGAAGGGTAGGCGGTACGTCGGTACTTATTTTATGGTCCAACAACAACAACGACATTCACAAGTTCCAGAGATGAGGGGTTGAATAGAAAAAGCTGAGAGAAGAGAGGAAGTAGCTCGTTCCAAGTAATCAAGAAGGCTTGATTAAGTGGTCTCAGATGGACAGCAGGTGGCATCATGCAGAGAAGATCAGAATGGCCTGTAGGCAGACAAAGGTGGTTTCCTTTCATAGGGGCGGTCAAGGAGATTAGGAAGAGAGGATTTGCTTGGAAAGTGAGGGGTAGAGGTCTTATCAGGATGTGTGTGATCAGGCCCTGGGTAGTTGGGGGGCCTTATCAGGACATGGTCAAGCTTCATCCAGATATGGTCAGGTCTGGGGTGAAGTGTTTGGGGTCGGTGGGGAATTGCACTAGTCCTCCGTTAAATGAGGTCATCTCTGGGGGTCATTCTGTCTGGCACAAGTGGAAGAACGGTGATGTCTTGGTGTGGGGTGTGAGTGGTCAGCAGCTAAGGGGAGCATGGATGACCGGTGGCCTGAAAGGCCCACGTACAGGGAGTGTGTGGCGTGGTCAGCTCCCGCGGGCTTCAAAATGACTCCCCATTTGTGAGACTGCAGCAGTGAACAAGCCTAGAAACAAGGATTTTTCCACTCTTGGCTCTGTCCGTTGCCTTTTAACTTTAATATTTTGGAATACTGGGGAAGCGACCAGGATAGTCTTTCAATTGCCTAACTTTCTCCCACGGAGCAGCTGGTGGATTTGAACTGCGTGCCTTTGGGATCGCAGCATGACTTCCACCACTAGGCCACTAAAGCTCCCTAACAGTGATGTAGTATCACTTACTTAACTCACTAGTCAGTGCGGGTCTGTGGGAGGTATCATCGTCGTAGATGTGGCTGTGTTGTTTCGCACCTTCAGCACAAAGGGCACCTAAATGCCAGGGTCACTAGCACTTAAATTTACTAAAAATCTTGGGCACTGGCAATCTGATAACTGAGAAATGCTACCATGTTTTTATAAAGTTTTACTGAGATAAAATTCACATACCATAAAATTCACCCTTTTAACTGTACTGTGGTTTTTAGCACAGTCACAGAATATCACCTTCTTAAAATGTTTTCACCCACCAAAAAGAAATCCCAGTTCATTAGCAGTCACCTTCTATCCCTTCTCCCTTTCCCCGACATGTGTTTGGTGACCACTAAGCTGTGTGGTGTGACCACTGAGGTGTGAGGTAGTGACCACGGAGGGGTGGAGTATCAACACGGGAATTATAACAGAAACTCAAGCTTCTGCTCAGAAAGAAACGTCCATCCTGGGCCTGGAGGGACCTAGTCATCTCCCAGCTACAGAATCATACCCGCAGCCCTCGGGCCATTCCTGGGACATGAAAGAAGTAATTTCCTTTCTGCTCCTGATAATTGTGTCTGTCTTCTTGCATCTTCCTCTTCCGGACATTCCATGTAAACGGAGTCATACACAGGGTGGACGTCTGGCCTCTTTATTTAGCATACTGTTTTCAAAGTCCACTGATGTAGCCAGCATTACTGCTTTCATTCCTTTTTAGGGAAGAATAGTATTCCTGTCTTCCTCACACTCTGAGGAAGATGGCAAGGATGAGTCTGAGGAGCGAGGACCCAGAACAATTGTGGGCCATGTTAAAGTTCTGGTGGCCTAGTAGTAAGGAGCTGTGCTACAACCCCAAAGGCACACAGTTCAAATTCATCAGCTGCTCTGTGGGAGAGGGAATCTCCTCCTGTGTGATTTTCTGCCTCTGAAAACCCACTGGATGGTCAGCCATGGATTGGTGCTGACTGGACAGCAAACAACAATATTCCTGTCTTCCTCATACAACAGTGGTCCTATACAATATTTGTCCTTTTGTGACTGAGATATTTCACTCAGCATAATGTCCTCCAGGGTCACCCATTTAGTATAATATTTCATGAGTTTTTTGGTTTCCATGCAGTGGGAGTTTTAGGAACTGTGGCAACAGAGATGGAATTCTCTCAGGAATTTCACTTGACACTAGTGGTATTACTTATTAACCTAGGAGACTTGAATTGTTCTAGCAGTGAAAGTGAATGACTTTATAGACTCATAAACCATGAATTCTTACTCCTGATGGTCTAGTGTCATTATCAGCAGTTTGCTGTCCTGTACAAATGTTGACTTTGCTGATCTTTAGAGTGGAAGTGGTGCAGTGGATCAAATATTAGATTGTTGTTGTTGTTGATTCCTGTCAAGTCGAGCATGACTCATAGTGACTCTATGAACAAAAGACCTGAAGCCTTTCAATAACTGTCATTGTTTCTAAAAGTTCATGGAGTTTCCAGAGGCGTGTGGTTTAGGAAGTGGATGTCACTCCTACTTCCAAACCTGTCTTAAACTGGGAGCTACACCAAACACTGTCCACCATGGATAACCGTTATGGCATTTGACACCCCAGTGACACAGGTTCAGCACCACAGCAACTCCAGGTTACCTCAGTACAGCATATTGACAAAAGAGTGCTGTATGACCAAGACGAATGTTTCTCCAAAATATAATAACAACTGACTTTTAAATGCAAACGGCCTCCATGAGGTCTTGTTGACGCTAAACAACAGGCTTAAATTAAAGAAAAAAACTTATATAATACATTGTTATTATTGTTGTTATGAGCCCTGGAGTCACGACTCATAGTGACCCTATGTACAGTAGCTCTGAACCCTGCCCTGTCCTGAGCCAGTCTCACTGATTCTGACACACCAACTCCCATTGCCCCAGTTACTGTATCAGTCCATCTCATCCAGGGTCCTCTTCTCCTGCGATTACCAACTGAAAAGTCAGCAGTTCCAATCCACTAGCTGCTCTGTGGGAGAAAGATGAGGTAGTTTGCGTCTGTAAAGATTTACAGCCTTAAAAACCCAAGGAGCAGTTATACTCTGCCCTGTAAGGTTGTTTTCCGTTAGAATGGACTCAAGGGCAGTGGTGCCAGAGGTATGGAAGGCAGTGGGCCTGGGGGGATGGAAGACAGTGCGGTTGGGGATAAGTAGATTCTCATTCTAATTTGAGCTGCTCCTCAAGGGGACATGGTCACTGTGTGAGAGGAAGTCCCTTGCGTTCAGGCTTTGGGATTCATGGGCCCTCAGGCAGGAGGCTCAATGATTGGACAAACTTAAGGAAGTCAGCATCCTTCTGGTCCAAGGCCTTTCTGTTGAGGATGAAGAAATGGGGCCCAGAGAAATATCACTACCTAAAACCAGCAATGAAGGAATGGAATTAGAGGTTCATCTGTGTATCATCAAGTTGATTCTGAGTCTTACTGATCTCATAAGACAGAGTTGAACTGCTCTGTAGAGTTTCCTAGGCTATAATCTTCATTGCGTGGATTGTCACATCTTTTCTCTAGTGGAGTTAGTAGAGGATGCTTTAACTATTGTGTTCCCAAGGATTTTTTTTTTTCTTCTTCTCAGTGCTGCCAGGTTGGAACAGATTTCTAACTGACCCTCCAGTGGGTTTCTGAGGCTGTAAATCAAATGGGAGGAAATTATTCCCCTTTTCCCTGAGCCTCTGGTGGCTGCTTTCTGAGAGCTCAAAGCTGTGGACAGGTCAAGCTGGCAGAGAGGACAGGACAGTGCCTGCCTCCTCTTGGGACTTGTCCACTGTCAGCTTTCTCAGCTCTCCAATGCAGATCCTTTGGAGCGGAATGTCCACAGAGCAGGACTGATTGGAGGGTAAGGCAGGAAGGATTTGGGGCTGTACTTCAACAAATGCAAAAAGTCACACCATTAGAGAGGAGAAGGAAACGAATATTTATTACATTTCAATAGGGGCCTTTTTTCAAGTGTGCTGGACGTTTTACATATGTTTATTTCAGTTTTCATAATTGTACCTGGCAGATGCAGCTCACCACTTCACAGATGAGAAAAGTAAGGCCTAAAGACATGAATTATGCTTTCTCTGCTTACAAAAAGACATACTTAGTACAAATTTCAAACACAAAATAGAGGAAAAATTCCTTATAGTTGACCTTCCTGATTTTTTTATACTGCAGAAAACTGCAATCATATTCTACATGCTGTCCTGAAACCTGCCTTTTTTTTCTCTTGACAGTGTGCCTTTCTTATCTGGCTGTGTAATAATTTTTAGCGGAAGCTTTTGGGAAACTTGGGGGTTCTCTGATGACACATACAGCCGAGTGACAGTCACATGTTTCTCACGTGGCCAATGAGAGGTGTTCCCTACTTGCAGGGATAGTTTGGGCAGTAGCCTTAGTTTTCAACAAGCGAGAAGACAAAACGTCCCAGACGACAGCTGGGGTGAAGAAAGGTTAGTCGCGCAGGTCAGTGGAACCCTCAGAAGGGCGGGAGAGGCTGACCGGGGCGGGGCTAGGCCTGGACTGAGGCGGGGCTGAGGCAAGGTTGGAGCTCTAATTGGGGCAGGGTGAGGCTAGGGCGGGGCTTGGTCTGGCCCGGGGCGGGGCTGAGTCAGGGCTGGAGCTCTCATTGGGGCAGGGCGAGGTCAGGGGCGGGGCGGGGCCGAGGCGGGGCCCGGGACGTGGGCGGAGCCGAGGCTGAGGGTTGGCCGGATTAGGATTGAGGCTGGGGACAGGGGTAGTGTAGGCTCAGGAATGAGATCGGGGCCGAGAATGAGACAGGGAGGGAGAACAGGGCTTTGCTGGAACTAAGGCCAAGGCGGGCGGAGACCGAGGCGTTGGCGGGGCAGTGACTCGGGGGCGTGGTCAAGAATAAACCGGGAGCTAAGGAAGGTGGGGTCGGATTTGGGGCGGGGCCAAGAACAAGGCCGTTCCCGAGAATGGGGGCGGGCTAGAGCGGGCGGGCACTGAGACTGAGACGGGATAGGGTGAGACCTCAGCTGGGGGCGGAACCTATCGGGGGCGGGGCCGCGTGCGCTCTTCAGCGTGTTCACCCATTGGCCGGCTGCCGCGTGACGCGCTTGGCGCTGGCCCGCCCCTCCCCGCCGGCCCGCGCAGCCCCTCGAGGCTTAGGCGCTGCGATGGCGGAGGCCGTGGAGCGCACGGATGAGCTGGTCCGCGAGTACCTGCTGTTCCGCGGCTTCACGCACACGCTGCGGCAGCTGGACGCCGAGATCAAAGCGGACAAGGAGAAGGGATTCCGGGTGAGGGTCCTGGGCGCGTGCGGTGGAGGCAGCGCGGGCGGTGCTCAGCCGGCCCTCGGGGAGGGAAGGCGCTGTCACCCTGCGGGCCACGCTGGTTCACGCATCCAGCCTCCGCTGACAGATGAGCAACCGAGACCCCGAGACCTGGCGCACACTGCCCGGTAGCGCCCGAGGCTGGACCTGGGGAGCCTCCAAGTCCAGGGCTTCGGTCCCCACTGGCCTTTGGGTGCCGCGACGATGCGGTTTCCGGAGCCACGGTTGGGTAGATGGCCGAATTTTGGCATCAGAAATAGAGCAGGGGAGGCGTCCACTTCCTCTGGGAGCAGCGGGGCCGGCTCGTGGGCCAGGGCGCTCCTGCATTTGTAGACGTTGCGCATTTCAAAATTGACAATTGCCCTGCCTTGACTTAATTTTCGGTTGATAAGACTGAGGGGTTTATACCGCGCGTGCGATCCCTGTGCTCGAGCTGACTGCAGCTGCACTTGGCAGATTCGTAGACAGCGGGTTAGCCGCCAGCTTATTTGCTGACTTCATGCACAACTAAGCCTTCCCCATCATCTGGGATGTGGGTCCCAGGATGCTCATTGGCCGATTTTTGGAAGTAGATTGCCAGACCTTTCGTACCTAGTCTGTCTTGTCTGGAAGTTCTGCTCAAACCTGTGATTCTGATGTATTTGAAATACCAGCGGCTTAGTTTCCAGCATCGTAAAGGTACCACACAGTGAGACAGACTGGCTACCCCACGTCATTCCACCATCGAGTTGCAACTGACTCATAGTTGACTGGCCGGGGAGTTTTTCAGAGGCAGTCAATTGCATGATAGACGATTGCTCCTCTTTCTCCTGAGGAGCGGCTAGTGGATTCGAACCCTCTGCCATTGGGTTGGCAGCCCAACTCCTTATCACTAAGCCACCAGGGCTCCTAATAGAATAGACTAGAATATTGTTGGGTCTGAGTCGACCCTTAGCCAACCTCCAAGCAAGTGTTCAGAAACCGTTAATTGCATGCGAGGCTACTGACCTTTGGTTAGCAGCCCACTGTTTTAAGCATTGCACTGATATAGTTAGTGAGTAACTTTATTTAAAATTAACTTTAATGAAAGTTTTGTAATAAAATTTTTTATTAATTTTAATGAAAGTTTACAGAGACTTTGGATTTCCATTCATTCATTGTTGCACTTTCCTCCCTGCCCACCCCTCCCCCACCATTTGCTTTTCTCTTTGAAAATTCTTTCATTGTTATATGATCCCCCCCCACCCCTACTCCACAATGCAGCCTTCGTTCTGGACTCCTGTCATGACAATAATACCTAATCACATATCCCTTTTAAACAGATCTCTCCCTCATCTGTTTCAATGCAGTATGCATAATTTATCCCCTCTTTTCTTAGTTTTCCTCCAACCCCAATGTCAGTCCCACTTTACAACAGTGGCATTATGCAGTATTTGTCCTTTTGTGAATGAGAAATAACTTATTTTCAAAAGCAGATTTTTCTCCCTCTCCTGGGTTTGTAAGATAGTGCGGTTGGATTGGCACGAACCCCCCTCCATACTGTGCACTCTGGCGTAACTTCATTTCCTGGCACTTGGAGACTTGCAGGAACCCAGGTACCTGATGAGCCTTGGAAACCTGGGAGAAGGAGAACTGAGAATGATTTCAGCCATCTTTTATTTTGCTTCCTCCACCTTCAGTGCAGATAGTGGAGAGTTGATGTGACACCGCCAGGTGGCTGAGGTGGCCAGATGCAGATCCCATACCAGACTAGGCCTCCTGGTTCCCAGGTGTGAGCCCCGTGCTCACCAGACACGCAATCCGCACATCAGACAGTAACGCAGAAACTATTACAGCAGTTCTTTTACAAACTTTTACAGACTGTCAGGAACAGACTTTCTTTGCTGCAGGAACTGCACACAGTAGGAGGAAGAAAGCTGTTATTAGCTTGGTAGGTTGATAGGGGACCCCCACCCTGTCCTTGACCGCCTGCTCCGGCGCCTCGATCTCTCCCCAGGTGGACAAGATTGTGGACCAGCTGCAGCAGCTGATGCAGGTGTACGACCTGGCTGCCCTCCGGGATTACTGGAGCTACCTGGAGCGCCGGCTCTTCAGCCGCCTGGAGGACATATACCGGCCCACCATCCACAAGCTGAAGACCAGCCTGTTCCGATTTTATCTCGTCTACACCATCCAGGTGCTTGCTGGGTCCAGATGTGGGGTCGGGGCTGCTTCCCTTGGAGGAGAAAGCCCTTTGATCCAGAAATGATTTCTTGGGCTCTAATGCTGTGGGAGACGGCAGAAGAGGCATGTCATGTTATTTTCTTCTCTTTTCTGTCTCATCAGCTGCAGATCAGCTGACTTCCTCCACGTTCCTGTTTCCCCTCTTGTTTTAACCACACCAACCTGCCTGGCTGGTGGTTTTCAGATTTAAAGGAGCTAGTTTACATTTTGAGTCATAAAGGCTGTGTGTAGCCGGCCAGGGGCTCTCGCCTCTGCACTTCTCTCTCTGCCCCTCCTCACCCCCTCCCTCGTGTCTCGGCAGACCAACAGGAATGACAAGGCCCAGGAGTTCTTTGCCAAGCAGGCCTCGGAGCTCCAGAACCAGGCAGAGTGGAAGGATTGGTTCGCCCTGCCCTTCCTGCCGTCCCCGGACACCAACCCCACCTTCGCCACCTACTTCTCGCGACAGTGGGCCGACACGTTCATCGTGTCCCTGCACAACTTCCTGAGTGTCCTGCTGCAGTGTATGCATATCCTGCTGCACCCCAACGTGCCCAGACTCCTGGCTCCGCGTGGTCCCCGGGGCTGCTGTCACCGATGTGACAGGGACTGGACGAGTGGTGGTGGCATGCGTTGACAGTTCGCTTGGTTCTGCTGCTGCAGTGCTGAACTGTTGGCTGACTGACACTGGGGGGCCGGGGGAGGTGGCAGTGGGACGATGGTGCCCGGCTCTGCCAGGCTGGGAACCTCTCGCTGCAGACCCCCAGGGCTTGTGGGAGAGGCTGTCCAGCCCGAGAGCATCTCTCACACACGAGGGTCAGTGGCCTGGGGCAGGTCTGGCTCTGACTCAGATGGAGAGACAAGGAGACCTGTTGGATCGGGACTTGCTGCCTGTGTTAATCTTGGTTACTCTCCGACAAAGAGCTTAGTGTTCCTTTCACACTTACACACTCACTTGCTCTCTCTGTGTTGCTGTTTGCAGTCGAGTCAGAACTGACTCATAGCTGACACTTCCAGTGGGTTTTCAGAGAGTATGATCGCGTGGGAGGAGATTGTCCATCTTTCTCCTCCGGAGTAGCTACTGGTTTCCATCTGTGTATCTTTGGGTTGGTAGTGAAACTCCTTACCACTAGGCCACCAGCACTCCATATCTGTGTGCCTGCCTGCCTGTCTGTCTCTCTCTCTCATCCATCTGTGTAGAGATACATGCACACATACATGGAATGAGAAAGAGAAAGCAAGTGTATTGTATGTATATGTATATTGTTGTTTTTGGTATGAACCATCAAGTCGGAACTACCCGATAGCCAACCCGCTAGTAGATTTTCAGACGAAGTAAATCGCGGGGAGGAGATTGTTCATCTTCCTCCTGCAGAGCGGCTGACGGATTCGAACCAAGTGCCATTAGGCTGCAGCACACCTCCTTAGCACTAAGCCACCATAGCTCCCGCTGTGTGTGTGTTTGTGTTTATAGATCTCAGTCTCTATACAGGCACACGCAGAAGATGTGGTGGTTCCAGACGTCCACGGTAAAGTGAGCCACGTGAACGTTTGGGGTGGTCACGGCGTGTGAAGGGTATGTTGACTCCACTGAGACTATTAAATGTGCAACAGTGTGAGGAGAAAGCTCGCGGTATTTTAAGAATGACCAAAATGTGACACACAGACACGACGTGAGCATACGCTGTGCGGGAAACAGCTTTGACAGACTTGCTGAATTGGTGCAGGACTGCCACAATCTTTAATATTTTTTAAGTGTGTGTGTGTGTGTGTGTGTGTGTGTGTGTGTGTGTACCATCAAATCGGATCTGACAGGTCCAGGAGGAGATTGCCCCTCCTTCTCCAGCAGAGCATCTGGTGGATTCGAACCATGTGCCTCTGAAATTGCAGTGCAGCTTCTTGCCACTAGGCCACCAGAGATCCCTCACAATCTTTAATTTGTAAAAAAGGACAGTGTGTGCGCACCTGGACACAGGACACTGGAGAGGAGACATGCCTGTATAGAGGCATACGGTGCACGCATGAAGCCGCACAGAGAGAGGATGGAGCGCGTGTTGCATGAGAACCTTTACCGCTCAGCACGTTTGCAGTCTTGTCTGGGAGCCTGAGGCCCAGGCTGGAGCCTCGCCCTTGCTCTACAAGTGACAGTCTCGGAGGAGCTGGGTGTCGGGTGTGAGGCTTGTTGAGGGAGGGCGGCCTTCGCTGCTGGTCCCTGGCCTTTGTGCCGTGCTTGAGGGTGATTGTGCCCATTTTTCTCCCTCTGCTGCTGCTCTGCACCCCGGGGAGGAGGGGGCCGATGTGTCGTGGAGAAGGCGCTGCATGACCCAGGGAAACCCAGGCATCATTCGAGAGCTTTCTGGAGCCAGAGGAAGCCTGTCTGAGCCGCATTCACGGGCTGCTCCTGACTGAGGCAGCTGGGGAAGCGGATAGGTTTGGTGGTGGGTGCTCAGAGGCGGCCGTGGCCGAGCAGTCCAGAGACCTAGTTCCCCTCCGCCTACAGCTCTGTCATGGGCTTCCCCTGGAGGGCTGACCGCCTGCGGTGGCCTGCGGGCCTTGGCCTCGGGGGAGGGAGTGTCTTAGCACCTGTCTCACCTGGCTTGGCTGTGAACACTGTTGGGCACTCATAGGTGCCCCTCCACCGCCCACCCTGGGCACCAGGCCGACTGCCATTCTGTAAGTCACCTGCGGGAAGCCAGGCCAGGCTGGACCAGGAGAGACTGTTGAACACAGTGGTCCTTAACCTGTGCACCCGTGCCAGTGATCCTGAACTTCGACGCCGAGTGCCAAAGGACCAGCCAGGTCCAGGAGGAGAACGAGGCGCTGCGGCAGAAGGTTTGTCTGCCCAGGCGGGCACCTCGGCTGGGGGACAGGGGGCACATCTGCGTCATGTGAATTCCGAGGGCTTCAGTCAGTGTAGGAAGGTGTAAGAGGGGTACCGGGGAGCCGGAATTGGGGTTCAGGTGTGAGCGTCATGCCAAGTCTTGTGTAAGCCACCCTCCCGTAGACTTTCAGAGCCTGCAAGTTACTCAAGAGAAGATCGATCTCCCATGGAGCAGCTTGTGGATTTGAACCACGTACCTTTGTGTTGGCAGCGCAGTTCCTTACACCCACCAACAAGGAGTCACCAGAGCTCCCTGTAAACCACCTGGAACAGGGAGAGGACTGTGTGCTCGCTCCCAAGGCCTCACCGCTGACCTGCTCTCCGCAGGGGGCCTTGCCCTCCCTGCCCCTTTGCATTGTGTCCACGCTGCGTTTTCACAGGCTCCTGGTGATGCAGTGGTTAAACAGTGAACAGTAACCGAAAGTTGGTGATGTGCACGCGTCACCAGGGCTGGGCTCCGAGGGGGACGGGGGGCAGCGTGTTTCCAGCCATGGCATCCCTCCAGGGCCGCTCCCTCCTGTCCCTTGATGGGGTCGTTAGGAGCTGACATGGGCTTGAGCTTTTGGTTTTTTGGTTTTTTTTGTGGTAGTGGTGCAGTGGTTAAGCGCTGCTAGCCACAGTGGTCATTCTGAAGCCAGCAGATCTGACCCTTGGCTTTCGTTGACGGCAGCTTGGGAGACCGACGAGCAGGTCTGCTCTGTCCCGTGGGGTCCCAGTGGGTGCAGATGTACTGAATGCAGGGGGCCTTATGTCCAGGGCAATAAAAGTTAGAGCCTGGGACCCACGCTTGTCTTTGCAGGCCTCTGTCCTCGATGTGAAGATGTGGACAGGTTATGTTTTCTGGGAAGGAAGATGCTAAGATACCTAGGTGTTGAGCATTAAAATTCTTGTTTGGGTATGTGTGTGTGTGTGTGTGTGTGTGTGTGTGTGTGTGTGTGTGGTGTGTGTGTCTTTGTCTTCCTAGATAGATAAAATCTTCAGGAAAAAGGTTAAGATGAGCATTTCAAATCATATTTTAAACTTCCCACACACACACAAAATGATAAAATTAAAAAATTTTTAAAAAATGTACTGTTGTAAAATCAATGAAATGCATTTCTTTTGTGACACCCAGTCATGAGTTGGAAAAGACTTGATAGTAGCTATCTTTTTAGAAGATATGTCTGTAAGGCCCGTCCTGTTTTAGAAATCATGTCTGATTTCAGGGGTCTCGGAAAACTGAGGCAGGACTGGGTGGTGGCATGTCTCTTAGTGAACTCAGGAGGAAACAAGTCAGAGATGCCAGGCAGCATGTGGAGGGCTGGAAAGGAAAGCCTGGGGGTTTTGCCGTCGGTGTGGCTCCATCCTGTCTGTGGTGGGGGCCTGGTCAGTGGCCCCGCTTTCCAGTGCACAGTGGGCAGGGGGTGTGGTTTTGGGGTGTGGTGTGACCAGACTGCTTAGCAGAGGGCAGGGTGCGGCGAGCACCCCCTCACTCTCTCCTGCCCTCACCCGGGCAGCTTTTCGCGCTGCAGGCAGAAGTCCACCGGCTGAAGAAAGAGGAGCTGCAGTCAGAGGAGGACGAGGCCTTAGTCCAACACAAGCTGCCTCCTTATGTCTCCAACATGGACCGCCTGGGGGACTCGGAGCTGTGAGTGTGGGCGGCCTGGGCAGTGGGTGGGCAGGCGGAGGGCTGGCCCCGGGACCCTGTGCTTAGCTCCCTCCTGGACAGTTGCCAGACCATCTCGTGGACACCCACTGCTGTCCAGAATTACATGGAGGAGGCCTGGCCTTTGTGGCCTGTGGCACCTGCTCTCCCTCCAGACACAGCTCTGAGGGGCAGGGGCTACGTGTGGGCCAAGGGGCTGTGTGTGTAGGGGCTTCAAGTCTGGACGTGGGGCAGGATTTGTGGGTCCAGGTGCTCATGGTCAATCCAGCCAGCTTAACCGCTGTCGTATTTCTGGGAATGTCTGTAAGTTGAAAAGCCTGTCCTGTAAAGTCAGATTGGCAGCCACAGGCTGGGTGGATTTGGTCACAGAAGTGAGAGAAAGTGCTGTCTGAGGATGGAAAGGAGTAGGCAGGTGAAGGGAGGGGAGTGAGCACCCTAAAACCTGCTCTTAAACCAGAAGCCCCAGGTGGGGATGGGGATGGAGTTGGGGGGGGGATGGTGATGATTGTGATGGTGGTGTTGATGGTGATAGGATGATATGATATGATGGTCGTGGTGGCGATGATGGTGACAGTGGTAGTGTGATGGTGATGTGATGTGGTAGTGGTGGTGATGCAGTGATAACAGTGTATACCTGTGAGTAGCTGAACCAGAGTGCAAACCCAGGCACAGGTTCCCACCCTGCCCAGCTCTGCTGACCGAGCTGCCCTCGGGAAATCGGGAGCTAAACCAGATGGGATGAGTGCTCTGTAGCAGCTGTGTCTGGAGAGGTAATCAGAAGCAGGGAATCCGCCTGGGAGGCGTAGCTTGGTCCACCCACGCGATCCCGGTGCCCCTCTGCGAGCGGTGACTGTCTTTGCAAAGCCTTGCAGGGTGTGCCCACCCCTGGAGCACCTGAATCTGACCCTTGGGAGGTGCTTAGTTGCAGTGAGGCCACCTTAGTGCCCAGGC